CCAAAAAATCATCACCAAGACTGAGGTCCAGGAGCTCACCCCTGTGTTTCCTTCCAGGAGTTTTATAGTTTCAGGTCTCACATTCAAGTCCTTAATCCACTGTGGGTTGATTTTGTGTGTGGGGCGGGGCGAGGCGAGCATCCGGCTCACCCTTGCGCGTGGCTGCCCGGTTCTCCCAGCACCATGTGGCCGCCCCGTTGTGTATTCGTGGCTCCTTTGCCATTAAGCATGGGCTCCCTTCTGGGCTCTCGGTTCTGTCCCACTGACCAATGTGTCTGTTTCTATGCCACATCACTTCTTGATTTTCTCTTAAGAAGTATCTGTTAACTTTTCACTATGGACGGCGAGGATTTTAGTTCTTCCCCCCTCCCCCGTCTCCCCCACACAAGTGCACCCACTCCGCCCTCCCAGTATGGTTATATTGAAACTTTGGTTTGACGAACAAGCAGCATTTGCATTGTGGGCACTGTGTATGCCAGTCCGGCTGGGCTATGCAGTGGGCTATGACCCTTTTCCTTCCCCGCGTCACTGTGCGTTCCCTGGAGCCCATGGTCGCCTTGTTTTGTCATTTGCTTAGTTGTCTACTAGGCATTAAGAATTCAACCTCAAATATTTCAAGAGATGTCTACATCTAATGTCCATGTTCATGTGTGAGGGCATCTCCTCACACACACGACTGCGTCTTATTCCCCAGGAGACACGGAGGGCCGTGCGCGGCGGGACACGGAGGGCTGTGCGCAGCGGGACGTGGATTACTGTGCGCTGCGGGACGTGGAGGGCCGTGCGCAGCGGACACGGAGGGCTATGCGCGGCGGGACGTGGAGGGCCGTGCGCGGCGGGACACGGAGGGCCGAGCGCGGCGGGACGTGGAGGGCCGAGCGCGGCGGGACGTGGATTACTGTGCGCAGCGGGACGTGGAGGGCCGTGCGCGGCGGGACGTGGAGGGCCGTGCGCGGCGGGACGTGGATTACTGTGCGCGGCGGGGCGTGGAGGGCCGTGCGCAGCGGGCCGTGGAGGGCCGTGCGCAGCGGGACGTGGATTACTGTGCGCGCGGGACGTGGAGGGCCGTGCGCAGCGGGACGTGGATTACTGTGCGCGCAGGACGTGGAGGGCCGTGCGCGGCGGGACGTGGAGGGCTGTGCGCAGCGGGACGTGGAGGACCGTGCGCGGCGGGGCGTGGATTACTGTGCGCGGCGGGACGTGGAGGGCCGTGCACAGCGGGGCATGGAGGGCCGTGCGCAGCGGGACGTGGATTACTGTGCGCGGCGGGACGTGGAGGGCCGTGCGCAGCGGGACGTGGATTACTGTGCGCGGCGGGACGTGGATTACTGTGCGCGGCGGGACGCGGAAGGTTGTGTGCAGCGGGCTACGAACACTGCGCTGGAGGGAGAGAGGCCAGAGGCCGCAGAGGAGGAAAGGCAGGAATGTGAATCCCGCCACTAGGGCCGCCCCACGAGTCTCCCTCCACACCTGCTACAAGGGGGACGCGATGCCTCGTCCCAGGACAGCTCTGAGGACAAGGCAACCACCGGGGACACGTGGAGCAGGAGCAGGAGCAGTACCTGCTGGTTTACTTGCTTTGGGAAAAACAAGAGTCTCAAAGCCGCTGAGAGTGTCCTCACTCAGAACTCTCTCCTTTCCCAGGCCGGCCCCGGCTCTGCGCTCGTCCGGGGCGCGGCGTCGTGCTCCCGGGACGGGGACAGTGGGACCTGCCCTGCTGGCCGGGCCCCTGAGCTCCTGGGAAAGCAGAGCCTCCCTAAGAGTAAAGGCCAATGTTACTTTGAAATGTTCTAAACAAAGGCAGAGACTGAAAGAAAATACTGATAGATTGATGACAAAAAACCAAAAACTTTACGTACATCTGCAGAAAAGGAAAAAACCCTAAAAGACAAGCAACAAATTAGGAAAATATATGCAACATGTAAGTCAGTGAAGGAAGGGGCCAACTTTCCTAAGGCCCCAGACCAGTCAGGGCAGAGACAGTCCTTCCTCCTTCCCACCCTCCCTTTCCTTCCTTCCTTCCTTCCTTCCTTCCTTCCTTCCTTCCTCCCTCCCTCCCTCCCTTTCCTTCCTTCCTCCCTTCCTTCCTCCCTTCCTTCCTCCCTTCCTTCCTCCCTTCCTTCCTCCCTCCCTTCCTCCCCTTCCTTCCTTCCTTCCTTCCTTCCTTCCTTCCTTCCTTCCTCCATTTCCTTCCTCCATTTCCTTCCTTCCTTCCTTCCTTCCTTCCTTCCTTCCTTCCTTCCTTCCTCCCTTCCTTCCTCCCTCCCTTCCTCCCCTTCCTTCCTTCCTTCCTTCCTTCCTTCCTCCATTTCCTTCCTCCATTTCCTTCCTTCCTTCCTTCCTTCCTTCCTTCCTCCCTCCCTTCCTTCCTCCCTTCCTTCCTTCCTCCCTTCCTTCCTCCCTCCCTTCCTCCCCTTCCTTCCTTCCTTCCTTCCTTCCTTCCTCCATTTCCTTCCTCCATTTCCTTCCTTCCTTCCTTCCTTCCTCCCTTCCTTCCTTCCTCCCTTCCTTCCTCCCTCCCTTCCTCCCCTTCCTTCCTTCCTTCCTTCCTTCCTTCCTTCCTTCCTTCCTCCATTTCCTTCCTCCATTTCCTTCCTTCCTTCCTTCCTTCCTTCCTTCCTTCCTCCCTCCCTTCCTTCCTCCCTTCCTTCCTTCCTCCCTTCCTTCCTTCCTTCCTTCCTCACGCAACTCTGCCCAGGTGGCAGTGTAGTCTGTCTGGAAGACAGCAGTCTGGAGCGGTCTGGCTGAGGCAGTGTCTGGGTGTGGGGGGCTGAGGCTTGCGTAGTATGTCTTCCTGTGTTTATAACAGGGATCTTGCTCAGTTCCTAAAAGGCTCAATGGGGGATGGATCTTGATGAAAGTTCTTTTCTGCCCGAGCCCAAATTTTTCCAGGCACATATAGATTTCTCCCGAAATGTCCCTAGGGAGAGTTACTCCTTAACAAGCGGCAAGCCTGACCTATGATCTCCCGCCCCGTGCTGTGTCTGCTGCCCCTTCCAGCCCCCAGCTCCAGCCTCCTGCCCTGTGCACCCCTTTCCCCCGTGGCGCTGCACACGCTGTTCCCTACCTGGCGTGCGGCCCCTCCCTCCATCACCCTTGGCCTAGTGAGGTGCCCATCATTCTCCAGCTTACAGCGCAAGCACCCTCACCTCCTCCGGACACTTCGCTTGTAGTCTATGCTCTTAGAACACTTCTTATCATGGTTTATGATCCTACATTTTTGTGGCTAAGTGATTAGTACCCGACGAATAGCACCACACATTTCATCTTTTAACACATTTGTCAGATAATATCATCTAGGAGAGGGTCTCTCGACATCAGCACTGTTGCCATTTTGGGCCAGGTAGCTGTCTGTCCTGGGGCCTGTCCTCCGCATTGTGGAGTGTCTGGCAGCACCCCTGGCCTCCACCCACTGGACGCCAGTAGCACCCCTCAGCTGAAACAACCAACTAAGTCCCCAGACAATGCCATATACCCCCTGGGGGCAAAGTCACTGCTGGTTGAGGACCTCTGACCTAGAAGAATTGCTTGTAAAAAGTTTGGATTTGCAAAGGCAGGCTTCTGGAGAGCCCGGCCATCTCTCTAGACTAGCACCGTCCAGTAGGAATGCAATGCGAACCACCTGTGCATTCCAGTCGTTATATCAAAAAAAGTAAAAGAACAAACAGGTGAAAATAATTTTCATGATATATTTGATTGAACCCCATATATCCAAAATACTGTTATTTCAGCATGAATCAATAGAACATAATTATTAATGAGATACTTTGCATTATTTTTTTCTGCCAAGTCATCAAAATCTCCTGTGTATTTTTCTTAATTTGGACTAGCCAAGTGTCAAGAGTTGAGTAGCCACATGTAGCTAGTGGTGCGTGCGTTGGACGGGGGAGGGTAGACCTAAGCTCTCTCGCATTGGCTGTCACCAGACGGCACCCCCCTCCCTCAGCAGAGCCATGCACAGCCTTCCTGTGCCACTGGGGCGCACAGTTACTCCATCCTGAGCACCTGGGGCGGGTGCAGTAGCTTGAACTACATTCTGGAGGGCAGCTGCCCCCGGTCATCGGGGCCTGTGACATGCTGAGATGGGTGTGCTGCCTGTGCATTCACGGAGCTGGGGGTCCCTGCCACCCGCGCAGGGTGAGACGCACACTGTTTACAAGCTCCCTGGGCAGACGCCCCACCCACCTCCAACCACCCTCTCGCTCTTTCTTTGCTCGCTGAGGCTCAGCCCTCCACAAACACTGGCCACCTGGAAAGACACATGCTGTTTTCTTAAGAGACAGATGTCCCCGTCTACAATGACACTTGCCCTACTAGCCAAGAAGTTTCTGTGCAGGAGAACGCTGTCTCTAGCTTCGGGACATGTCCGAGTCTCCAGGCCACTCTGCAAGGACACTGGGGACAAGGCTCGGACTCCCACATCTCCTACTGTGTCTGTCCCTCCTCCCCTCCCCTCCCATAGGCGCCCTCATCTCCAGGGGGGTGCCTGCCCCAACCCCCACGTGAGGACTTGCTTCCTGTAGCCCAGCCTGGGCCACTCCTGCAAGCTCTTCGGGCAGTGCCCAGGCTGCTGAATGAAACCCTCAGAATGGGGACCCTCACTTGGACCAGCTGTCTCCAGGAGCCAGGGCACTGCCTCCCCAGTGAGGGCCACTTTTATTTTGGTTGCTGGGGCAAATCCTGAAAATCAAGGATTTGTTTCCCTTTTAGTAGAGGAACAAAGTTTCTCCAAAGTTGTCAGCTAGTCACTTTGAGCAACCCAGGGACTCAGCAAAACAGAATATGGGTGAAACCCGCACACCCACTGGGGCACTAAGACAGCTATTAACCCTGTGCAGTCTCAGGTCTGACCCCCCGCTGACCCCAGGGCCTGCTCCGGGTCACCGGGTGCCTCCTTCGGATGCCCAGCCGGTCCCCAGGGTGGCAGCCGGCTCAGGACCACACATTCACCGGGAGACGCATGCACGCTGTGCCCAGGGCCGCCCCGAAGTTGGACTTACCCCGCCGGGCTTGCCTGATCTTTGGGCTCAGCATGTTCCCGCAGCCGGCCGGCCAGAGTCGCTGGGCCAATCATGCTGTCATCACTTCCCTTTGCTCTTCCTGTCGCCCGGTGGCCCCTCATGCCCCGCAAGGCCCCCGTGGCCTCTGGCGTCAGCAGCGGGCTCCCTGGGCGGCATCTGCCGGCTCCGGACCGCCGGCTGCCTTGGACTGCACACGCCTCGATGCATTATTTATCCACCAGAATTAATTCCCACCCCAGCGACCACTAGGAGGCTCAGTAACCTCTGCTGATCAATCACTGGGCTGGGCGGGGCGGCCCGGCTGTCCCTCCGCCCGGCCAGGGCGCACGCAGCGCTGTGGGTCCCGAGCCGGGTCCAGCGGGCGCGGGGCTCACCCCCAGCGAGGGTGGCGGGCGGCCGGAGGAGGACCGGGCGGTTCCCGGGCTCGGATCCGCCCTCTGCGCTGGGAGGGCTCCTCGGGCTGCGCTGGAGACACCAAGAGGCCCCGGGGACATCTCCGCCTGGGGCGCAGGCTGGGCCCGCCCTGCCGCGGTGGGGGGTTGGAGGAGGCTCCCGGTGAGGGTTGACGGAGACCCCTGCAGGCCAAGGACTCGCAGTGTCCCGTGTTTCCTGCCAGAGGGGCCCAGGAGGCAGAGTGGAGCTCGGAGTTCCGTTTGCTGAGACAGGCGTGTCTTGGGAGGACCGCGCAGCCTGGCGGTGTTCAGAGCTCGGGGGACCGGCCCATCCAGGAGAGCCCATCAGGGATGTTAACTTTCCCTGCGGCCCTGCAGAGGTACCTGGAATAGGAATGAGTGGGACTCGCTGCGTTCATAGATCCGAACGTCTGTTCACTGAGCAGTGGATCTCTGCTGGTTGTGGTGTTTGCTTAACACTAGCATCGTTCTAGCTGTGTAGTGGGGCTTTGGGGGGTCAACCTCCCGGTCCTTAACAGTGCCCAAGAGATGCAATCACGGTAATCACTGCCATTTATGAGGTACCTACTATGCGTCAGCACTGACATTGGTGTTTTATATTCAATACCTTATTTGATTCTTCAATTCCCCGAGGCAGGTGCTATCACACGGCTTAGCAGATGAAGAAAGTAAGGCACAACAGTTCAGTAACTTGCCCAAAGTCTCACAGCGCTGTCAGGGCGGGGACCTGAATCCAGGGAGTGTGTCTGCGGCTGAAGCTCTTCCACATGTCAGTCTCTCTAAACACCCAAGTTACGGCCACTGCATGTGAGCGGCTCTGGCTCGAGAGCCCTCAGTGACTGTTGGATGGCGAGTGACCTGCCTTTGTGCCCCTGGAATTCACCCAGTGCCCCGGTAGGCATTCGAGACCGAGGCTCTGTCTTTCGTGCCCGGGTACCGTGGGGTCCTCTTACTCGGAAGACAAGGCATATGAACAATAACCTCTGCTTTTAACGATCATGCTCCCTCCCTCATCCTTATAGTGCTCGTATGTCCACTGATCCCCAGATGTGATCATCAGCTCTGACAGCTGGAGGGAAGAGTGTCCAGAGGCTGGGGGTCCACTGGGAGCCCGCAGAGCAGTCCTTGCTGGAGATGACAGGTCTGGACAATGGAAAGCAGGGGGGGAGTGGAGAGGCCAAGGACTCACGGGTGTGCGGAGACAAATGGCCAGTTGGAGGGAGAGAGCAGCGTCCACAGAGACAAAGCTGTCTTACTCAGCATCAGGTCACTCATTCTGGCCCTCGGCCACTCCTCGGGAGGTTTGAATCAGTATCTTGACACAACATCCAAGGCCTCTCACGGTGCTGTGCATGCCTGCCTCCGTGACCCAGCTCTTGCTAATAGTGCTACATATAATTACATTCACACAGTGCCCCTGGGCCTTTGCACATGCTCTTCCCTCTCTGTGGAATGCCCTTTCCCACTCTGTTTCAGCGACCTGAGCCTGGTCGTGTTGAGCAATACCTCTGTGAAACTGCTTTCTACCGCCACTAAGTGCTTCCCCGGGGCTCTTATCTGTGCCCCCTAGACTGCCCAATGCCCCTCCTTCACTCCTAGCCCTGAACCCCAGGCTGCTCCGGCCAGGAGTCCCATGAGGAAAACGGACTTGATGGCAGATCATGCACATTCCTGTGAGTGACAGGATAGCATTCCTCTCCTTCCAGGACAGTCGGAGGCTAGGTCAGGCTGGGACAGAGGCCACCCAGGGTGAGAAGGACACAGAGCTGGAAATCTCATGTAGACGTTAGGGTCACAGGGCGAGGCCCCGTGGCCAGTGACAGTCTTGAGCGATATGTGGCCCTGTGAATAGCGCAGCTCGGACCACGTTCTCCCAGCCAGAGGCAGGAAAACGCCCGAGACTTAGTCTGGGTCACTCGCACTTGTTTTGGTTAAGAAAACACCCCAAGTGCTTTTCCTGTGCAGCTGCTTCCCCAACAGCATCAGGTCACTTCGCCTGCTCGTCCTGGGGCTGGCAGTGGACTTGGAGAACACGGCAGGGGTCTGGCAGGGGTTCTGGGCTTAAACCCAGAGTGAAGCTGGGAAAAGGTCAGGAGCCAGTCCAGACTCTGCCGCGAGTCGGTGCGGGACAGGGAGGGGCACGTGCTTTCCTTGTCTGCCCTCAGACCACGGTCCCTTCTCTATGAGGGGATCCACGGGGTCCTGCTGGAGGGGACACGGGAGCTGCCTCCTTCCTGAATTCATAACCCCACTCCACAGGGCTCCGGGAGCCCCCGGCCCCGAGGCTGCTGCGGGGGGGTGGGTGAAGGGAGAAGAACCGGGCAGGGGACCTGCTGACCTCATGGCCTCCCTCGGCATAGGCGTTGGTTTCACGGAGCTGTCCGCGTCCTCGCTGGCAGGAAGCTGAGACCCGGGAGGGAAGACACAGGTCGCACCCAGTCGTAGGGACGGAGAGTTGGCCCCTTTCCCACTGCCTGCGCCTGCCACGCAGTACTGCCCCTGCCCCGGCAGTGGTCCCGGGCCTCTGCTGTTTCCTGCCACGAGTCATTTCGGCAGTTCGGGAGGGTGCCTGGGCCAAGCACGCCGAGCCCCGAAGGCCGGGTGGGAAGAACTAGTGGCCAGAACTCTCCAGAAGGCATCTGCTGAAATGCTCACGTCTTGGTGGGATGGTCACGGCGACTTTACATCAGTGTGTGGGCGAAAAGGGGTTCTAGGGAAAGTAAGTTCGCAGGGTGATCTGCTCATAAGTTCCTCACTGGGCAGGCAGTGGTGGGTAGTCCTGCCCCAGGCATGTGACTTATTAGTAAAATGCTTATCTCTCCTGTAAGCAAGCCCGGTCCACTGTTTCTGTATGTCTAAGTCACATACCTTCGCCACACCCTGAGAGAGCACAGGCCTCGTTCACTGTCCTGCAGTCTGCCCCTCACTGTGCTTTCTCTCGCCTTCATACAGACGCCCTTGCTTCCCGCTCTAACTGCACACAGACCAGAGGCCCTGCAAGCTGGCCCTCCTGGGAGGCTTCACCTCCGCGTGTGGCATCTTCACCAGCCTGCATTCATCGGCCGATGTCAGCCCCTGTGCCCTGAGCCAGCGCTCAGTCTGTTGAGAGCTTGCTTCCAGGTGTATCCTCTGTTTGGCTCAAATACAGTTTTTATAAAAATTCTCTACAGGTTTGCACGTTCTTACGTCCACAGCGGTTCTCAACCGTGGCTGCACACTGGGAGCTCTGGAAGCTAATTGCTGGCCCCACCCCACGCAGCTCCAGTTTCACTGGTCTGGATGTACAGTGGCCACTGGGAGTTGTGCAAGCTCCTTGGTGATCTGGTGTGCGGCCGGTGCTGAGCCCACTGCTTGGGAAGATTACTGCATGTCCTTGAGTCTGGGGCCGCTAGAGGCGGTCTTTGCCTGTTGTCTCCTCCAGGGTGACATTAGCCAGTTTCTCAGAAGGCGTGCATTAGCCAGTTTCCCAGTTACGAAGTGGCAAGGGGCACTTATCCCAAGACTACCCGAGACAGCTCCGTTGCATGCAGAGCTGCGGGTGCTGTGTGCACTGCACACAGGCGTCCAGCAGAGGGGGCAGTGGGGCTGGGTTTGAGCTCTGCAGGCGTGCCACCGGCCTTGCATGGTAAGAGGGATTTGGGGCCAGGAGGGCAGACCTTTAATTTTTACCAAGGTGCTGGGTAGACAGCAGAGCCCTGCTCCCTGGTTCCGGAAGCTGCAGGAAGGACAGAGTGAGCTCTTTTGGAAGCAGAGGGGAAAATGTCGCCCCGGACCCGGTGTCACCAGCAGCAGTGCCGACTCCCTGGAGTTCTCCGCCTCTGTTGCCAGGCAGCCGACAGTCCAGCTCCCAGCAGCCACTCCTGTCCATTCCTGCCGGTGCTGGACCAGCAGGCTGATTCCAATAGCTGCGGGAGCTGATTGTTAGATTCGCAGGTATTTTGCAAGGCAGTTGTTTGACACAGGTATTATTCAAAATTTAATTATATAAACTTAACTAAATAAGGTGTACTATAAAACAAAGGCAATACACACCCATACGTCACTTCTCAATGATTTAACTTCATGTTCCTATTGTCTACATCCTCAGATAACTCTCATCTCTCTGTCTGTAGGGTGAAAACACTGTGTGGTGGCTGGTCTCGGGGTCGTCGGGACTGAGCAGGGGTGCCCAGGCAGTGCCTCGGGCGTGTCTGGACGAAACGCACATCGAGTCAGTAAGCGGAGGAAGGCGGATTGCCCTGCCTGGCGCGGGCGGGCCTCGTCCATCAGCCGGGGCCTGAACAGAACAGAAAGGCGGGTCCCACCCTGAGCAGAGCCGTCTGGCTGCCTTGAGCTGGGCAGTTCTGTCCTGCCTTTGGACTGGAACTGAACTTCGGCTCCCCTTGGGTCTCGAGCCTGCTGGCCTTGGGACTAAACCACAGGGTCTCCCGCCTGTGGACGCGGATGTTGGGGCTTCGCAGCCTCAATAATCCTGTGAGCTAATCCGATATATATTCCCCCTCTGCCTCGGTAAACACCAGAGCCTCGCCCTCCTGGCCCCGGATCGGTCGATCTCCACCCCACCTCTACCTCCACCTGGTTCTGCTTTTCCAAGGAATCCTGTGCACTACACCGCCCCGCGCACCTCTCCCCACGCCCGGCAGGGCTGGAGAGGGCTGGGGAAGGGGCACACATACCGAGACAATCAGCTAACACTACCAGTCAGAATCTTCTTCTGGAGGCTGGTGGTTGGACATTTGCCGCTGACCTCTGGTCATTCTCTCCCCGTCACTCTGTGCGCCTCCGTCACGGTGGACACCCCACTGGGGTCAGGGGTGCTACCCCTCCAGCCAGCTCTGTTCTCCTTCATCCTGGGCACACACCGCTG